GGGAAGTGAGAGGGGTAGAGGAAAGGAAAGAAGGGAATGGAATTAATATGAGAAAATGAAAAAATGGAAACAAAGTCTTTGTAAATAGGGATGAAGGGATTGAAGGGAGGGCAGGGGAATGGGGAAAAGGTAAGAACCAAGAGAGATTAGGTAAAGGTGCAAATTTCCAATGATGAATGTCATTATATTGTATACCTAAAATGTACCAATAAAATTAATTTATAAATAAATAAATTAGCACTCCTATGCTCAAGAAAAAAAAAGTCTACCATATAAGAAAAGCCCAGGATCTCAATTATTCACTATTGAATTCTGCAAGAACTTCAGGGAAAATCTAATGCCAGTATTCTTCAAACTCCTTAATTAAACTGAAAGAAGGAGTATTCCCCAAATCATTCCTTGAAGCTAGCATCACCCTGATTTCAAAACAGATAAGAACCGGACTTAAAATAGAAGTATAGCCCAATCTCTTTAACGAATATAGGTGCAAAAATCCTCAAAGATATTATCAAACAGAGTGAACAAATCATCAAGAAGATCATACATCATGACCAAGTAGGCTTCATCCCAGGAATGCAAGGATTTTCAACATATACAAATCAATAAATGTAACAGATATCATAAACATAAAAGCAAAGACAAAAATCACATGATCATTTCAATAGATGCAGAAAAAGCCTTCAACAAGGTCCAACATTCATTCATGATAAAAGCCCTGAAGAAAATAGGCATCAAAGGGCCTTATTTCAATGATAAAAACTAGTTATGACAAATCTACAGTGAACATCATATTAAATGGAGAAAAGGCAAAAGCTTTTGCTCTAAAATCAGAAACAAAATAAGGATGTTAAGCGTTACCACTACTGTTCAATATAGTACCTAAAATAGTAGAACAATCAGGCAAGATAGAGAAATAACATGGATACATATTGAAAAGGATGAGCTCAAATTATCATTGTCAGATGACATGATTCTTTACATAGGAGACCCAAAAATCCACCAAAAGACTCCTAGAAATAATAACCAAATTCAGCAATGTAACAGAATACAAAATCAACACACAAAAATCAACAGTGCTCCTGTACACCAATAATAAACTCATGGAGAAAAAAAATATGAAAACAATATCATTCACTATAGCATCAAGAAAAATTTCCAACAGGCCCTTAAAGTATTTTTCCAATGTTTAGTAACAACCTATGTTAGTGACATACAATTCAAATTTCTAAGTGGGGGCTGGGGATTTAGCTCAATGGTTCCGCCACCTGCCTCACAAGCGGAAGGACCCAAGTTCGATTCCTGGTACCAAAAAAAAAAATTAAAAATAAAAAAATAAAAAATTTCTAAGTGGTCAAGAATAAAAATAAAATTAAATACTATTAAATATCTATTTAAAATTAGTGTTGGCTCTGTACTTCAAAGCAGAAGTGGTTTAAAGATGGCACATACTCTTAAGAAAGGTCTGCAGTAATTGGAGGTGGCATATAAACACTATCATCTGTTCAAGACCCTAGAAAGAATGGGAGAAAGAGAAAAACATTCTAGATAAGTAGAGGCATGCTATCATAGTAATGGTATGACTCCTGAAGCAACATTGCTTGGGTTTCAATACTGAACTCCATTTTGTTGGTAGCCTTTGAGGAGTTACTTAATCTCTTTGTGTCACTTAAAATATAGACAGCACTTGATTTCCGGGCTGTAGTTAGGATTAAATCAGTTAACACAGCACTGATCCATAAATAAGTGGTTATTATTATTATTATTTACAGGCAGTCCCCCACTTAGCATGATTAGACTTACAACTTCTCAACTGTATGTTGGTGTGAAGGCAATTTTAATTTATTAGAAACCATATTTTGAATTTTCATCTTTTCCCACGTTTCTATTATGCACATGGCCGTTGTACTCAGGAGTCAGTCATACCACCGTGAGGGTAAACAACTGATCCTCGATAGTGTGCTATGTTGCTAAGCTATGGTGCTCAGTAGGCTGTTTATAACAAGCATTTTTGCCAAGCACACGTCTGTAATCTCAGAACTCAGGAGGCCGAGGCAGGAGGATTGCCATGAGTTCAAGGCCAGTCTGGGCTACATAGTGAATTTAAGGCCAGCCTGGACTATATAGTGGGACCCTGTTGTTCCCTCCCCCCCAAAAAAAGCATTTTCTTTTCACCCCCTAACCTTCCCCTCCCTCCCTGATCCTTCCAATTCTTGGTCTTACTTGCAAAAGTTCTAGTTTCATCATTTTCCCCCCGTCAATTCTTTCTTTTTGATCCCCTTTCCCTTCCCCTCCTTCCATTTTGTTCCCCCATTCATTTGAAAAAGATCTCCCTACCTCTATTTATTTATTTTCTATTTTGTTTTTTATTTATGTACATATTTTTTATCTCATATAAAAGAAAAAAAGAATTGGGATGTGTTATGTGCATGTATCAACTCCCACAGTAATTGTAATCATTATGTAGTGCAAACATGTCCTAATAAAAAGTAAAATGCATTGTCAACTTGCAAAATTTTACCTTTTGACGGGTTTATTGGGATGTAACCTCACCATACATTGAAAAACACCTTTATTACTCTTATTATATTTAAAGACTTTGAGTTTAATCTCTGAAGAACTCAAAACATTAGTGGAGGCAATTTCTATGTTAGAACGATGATAGAAAGGTCAGAAACAATAAGGTTAGGGGCAGATGAAAGTGGACACCTGACTGACAAAACATTTGGATTTTATTTTGTAATAGGGAACCACTGAATGTTTTAAATAGGTAAGCAGCATTATAAAAACAATGTTTTGGTCTACTTTAAACTGACTGTACAATGATCTGGGAATTGAGACAATAAAAGACTGATGAAAGAACAGAATAATTATAAGCACTAACATTAATTAGATGTGCTTCTGGAACGTTTTATGGTGTTTTCAAGAAATATTGATTATAAATATTGTTATTCTGTAGGCAACATACTAATCATACTTATGTGGCATATCTAATTTAATTCTTAACACAACTCTATTAGATAATACTCTGATAAGCATCACTTTACTGCTAATGATACCAAGGCCCAGAAAGATTAAAATGAATTCCCTGGGACAGAGCTAGTAAATGGCAGTAAACATGATTTATATTCAGCGTTTCACTCTAAATCCTAAAGTTCTATTGGAAACCAATAAATGAAAAAACTATACACACAGAAAGCCAAACTATGATTTGGTGTCTGGTTGGATACAGGCTAAATGAAAGAATTATAACTCAGATTTCAACCCTTGAGTGTCACCCAAGAATGACCTGGGTGTGGTTACATTAACTAGCATGGAAAATTTTGTTCAGAGTAGAAATTGCCACTGAAATGCTCAAAGGCAGTTGGATGAAAAATGCCCTACTGGTTGAAGACTTGGGCAAAATGAAGGAACATATGGCATTACTGATGTGTGTGTGTGTGGGGGGGGATCGGGGGTCCACACACGCTTGGGGCTAGACAACAGTAAAGAAGGTAAATTTAGAAACCAACGGTGAGCCCAAACCGAAGTTTTCATCTGTTTTAATAACTGCTATCGTCTATAGCAGTCCCTTAAAATATACTGAGCAACAGTTTGAGAATGTAGAAATGTCAGGTAGCTTTGACTGAATTTGATGTTATTTGAAAGCAGGGAGCTATTCAGAGACAAAGAATTGTCCTTGTCTCTTCACTGGGTTCTCTTTCAGACAGATGTGCCAGGTAGCTCCAATCCCACTTACCTTAAACTCCTAACTAAATTTTAGGTGTAGACCTCTTACTGGCAAATTTTTTTTGAGGAATCTCAAATATTAAATAAACTTGGATGGTAAATAAATGCTTTATACTTCATCTCTGATAGTTTGTATAGCTGACAGAATAAATTACGCAGCTGCGCAATGAAGTCTACACAAGTCGAATGCAAAAGACAGTCTTAACTACTTTGCATAAAACGAGTAGGGCCCGAATACAATCATTTGTAGCTTTACATTATCCTTACTATGGTCCTGTTGACGTTAGGGAGCTTGGTTACACCATGTAAAAAAGGAGTGTGTCTAGCCAAAAGTCGGAAGGCTCGGTTGTCTTTAGGGGGACAAGGAAGTAGGCCGCTTACAACACATCCGCAATGCGCTTATCCAAACCGCAGTGGCCCAGCTCTCAAAACACAGCATAACAGAAGGATTAAAAAAAAAAGTAGCAGCGGCCTGTGCTGAAGGAAACTGGAACCCAACGCAGAAACAGAGCGCACGTTGCTTGAAAGGGTCTATCAATCACGCTCCTCGCCAGCCTGCGACTCCCATTAGTCTCTCCTCCCACGGGAGTCAGTGAGGAAGTGAAAAGCTCCGTTAGCCAATCTCATCCTGACCCAGAGTACCGCACGACGGAATTCTGGGATTTGTGGTTTTCACGCGGTAACTGTACATCATGGTGGGTAAGGGGAAAGGCCACGCGTCCGATTCGAAAGGAAAGCTCCAACGCATAATTTTGTTGGTCTCTGGTAACTCCCTATCACCACTTCCGGTCCTCACCCTCCTTAAAGGCTAGGAATTTCTTCTCTGAAAGTCATACAAAAGAAAAGTCAAGCTACTTTTAAGATTAAAACACGCTTATCACACTCTTCCGCCGTCCTTTAACCGTCGTTCTGAGTATCGCGAGAACAGCCTTCGTAGTTATTGTCGTCCCTCCTGAAAGGCGGGTCACGCGAAGACTGACAGAGTCCTCAGCCAACAGAATTCCCTGTGCGCAGCGCCTCCGCGGCGTGCGTGCGGAGGCCTCCGTGAACTCTGACCTCAGCTTTTCGTAGCGTCTCTTGTCCGCCGCCCCCGCCCGCGGAGCGTAGGAGGCGGGTTTTGGCCTCTTGCCCTAGGGACCGAGTGCGGAGGGAGTGGGACCGAGACGGCCCGAGAGGAGGTGTCTGGCTTCCCGGAGAGGCCTTGCTGTACGTTCCGTCGCCCATGTGCTCGTTCTTCCGCAAGTAGCGCCGTCGTTAGGCCGGCCCAGTGACTCCGCTTTCTTCGGGACTAGCCCTCGTCTCGCCAGGGAGGGGGCATCCTGTGGCGGCGCCTCTAGTCCGCGTCGGCGTCGCGCTGCGACCCTGGAAGCGGGAGCCGCTGCCACCGAGAGGAGGAGCCCCGGCCGCGGGCAGCAGCAGCCACAGCGTTAGCGGGCGGGATCGAGGCCGTCAACATGGCGAGCGCCTCGTACCACATTTCCAATTTGCTGGAAAAAATGACATCCAGCGACAAGGACTTTAGGTGAGGCCGAAATCCGATCCTAACCACACCTCGGGATCCCCCATCCGCGGCCCTAATGCTCACGCAGGCCTTGCCCCACCCCTTCGGCCTTCCTCGGTTGCTTAGCCTCTCTGGGGTCTCCCCCCTCCGCCTGCTCCTGGACCCTGGCCGGACCCTGTCCAACCCCCTCCCCCACGCTTTCCTCCAGGCCCTTGTCTGCCGTGGTCCCCAGAGCACTTCATTCTATGTCTTTCGTTAAGTGCCCCCACTCCATTCCTTGTTCCCAGGGTCGAGATTACAAAGGGGCGAAATCATCCAGTGCTGTGAAATAGGAAGCTGCTGTGGCCGAGGCTGGGGCGGCCGGGCCTATTCGCTGGCCCTCCGGAGGCGCTAGGCCGCCCTGCCCGCCAGGGCCCGAGCGCAGGCTGCTGCCCATTCGTGGACGCGGCGTCTTCTCCCCGCCGGCAGACGTGAATGGGCCTGGCTCCACTGAGGTGGAACGGTTAACTTTTAGCTCTTTGCTGATTGGGTTAAATACTTTGGAGAATTCCTTCTCTTTGAGTTGGAAGGACGGGGGAGGGGAGCCAGAATGGAGGAAACTTGGCCCTTAGTGTTTTCCCGCCAGCATCTCTTGTCGTATTTCCCTTGTCAGGTAAAACCCACGTAGGATCTCAGTTTCAATCTTATATCCAAAAAATCACTGCCAGAGGGATGAATTGCTAAACCTTAAACGGAGCAAATGAATCTTAAAAAGAAGGACTGCTGAAGATGAAGCTTTAGTATAGCACTACTGATCAGGGGTGTTACTGGGTCCCTACTTTAACATGCGCATTAAAGATTTGTTGTATTTTCAGATTATTTTAGTTCTTTCCCTCGCATACTGTAGTGACATTCTTTCCTCCTATTCACAAATGTTAGTCAAAAAAGTTTTTATTTCATTAATACTTTAAGTTTTGTTTTTTAATGCTTTAGTAGTTGTAATTTGTTTGCATTTTAAAAGAACAAATGGTCTTCAATGAAAATTGTGGCTTAAGAGCTTTGGTGGTGGTGGTTTGTTTTGTTTTATGTGAACAATCGTTTTAACACTTGCAGTTTATCTACTGGGAAGAAATTTGTGAAAAGAGAACCATGAAAAAAGTAATATTCTTAGTTGATGTGTTGACATATTAAAATGACCAGTGTAGTGTTTGGGAATCGCTTAAAGGTTGTATTTGCGATTTTTAAAAACCATTTTGTTGAAGCTAAAGATTTTAGTACTTTGACTGGAAAGGGGAGGCGTGACATGTTTGCTTTAGGCACTATGGAATTTTAATTTTAGATTGGTGTAGTTCTAAGGCGAGAATCAAGATTATCAAAGGTAGTAACATTTTCGTGTTGTTTTAACGATTAGGATGCTTTTTGATTCCCTTTGAAGCTTTACCTGCTTGAAATTTAAATATTGGGATAAACATTCGTACAACTTTCAAATTATGCTGGTTTGGCTCATCCTGTCAGAGTACTAAATTTCATTCTGATTCTGTTTTCGCCTCAAGGTAGCACTTTAGCCATCATATGGTTTGGCTCAACTAGACAGATTCAGTTATGGGTAATATGTTTAGAAAAACTAAAGAAATTATGTCATGTGGGGTACCTAGTATGTGATTACTGTCTGGCCCTTGCTTAAATTTCTTGGAAAGTAATGTATAATGCTTGAATTTGTGTTTTTGTTTTTAAAGTAAACTGTATGAGAGAAATAATGCTTAAAGCTAGATTATAGTGAATGCTGAACTTGATAAGGGTTATCTGTCAGGGCTGGAATGTATCAAAACCTTGCTTGATGGATTAGTGGACTATTGATATAGTCCACTAATAATATAACTGGTTATTGTTATAGAAGGTGTCTTGGGGAATAATAAGTGATCTCCAGTAACTTGACATCACCATTGAGGTATTTGAATTAACTCTGGTTTAAGTTTCTTTTTATAACACACTTAGCCATCCAATTAACAGACAAGTCTTTGGAACTAAAACACTCTGTATTAAATTTCACTCACTTAAAGATTTTTTTTTTATGGTACTGAGGATTGGACCCTTGGCTGTAAAATAATGAACATTTGAATTTTATGCATTTTCATGTATATAGCATTTGTTATTTTTTAAAAAGATACTTTGTTTTCATTGAAAATACAGTTTTTTTGGGTGTACATACCAAGATTTGTGACTACATATTTTAAAATAGTGCCAGAAGCATCTTGAGGGCCATTTTACATCATGGAACACCTAAAATGTACAGTATTTTACCTTGTACTAAGGAATGAAGAGGAAAACAGTGCCACCAAAATGAAGAAAAAGATTTTATTCTCATGGTAGAATCCAAAATGAATTTGGCCTAACGCAAGATCAAGGTTCTAATCATGGGTGATTCTTGCTTGTGAACTCTGAGATCTTGGGCAAGCTGCTTAATTTGAAATGATTTTCACTTGAGAGATTTGCATAATGGTAATTACAGAAGGGTAATTACAAAAGGTTGATTATAGGCCTAAATATTGAAGATTCTACTTAGGTAACTACATAGTCCATTAATGTAGAGAAATAAGTGCAGACTTTAGAATTTTGAAGTTCCACCATTTATCTTTGCAGAACTTAAATCATAAGCTTAACTTACTGAAAAATTACCTAATACAACTTATGTTTCATGTGTTAGTATTCTGCATTATTTGAATGTGGAATATTAAGATTTAGGAGAAATAAAGTAGTATTGAAAAGTGAAGAGTCCCTACTTGGCACTCTTTGTAAAGGAGAGGGACATTTTTGTATTGCAGTGGGCAGGATAGTGTATGTCGCTTACTAGCCTTGTTTTTGAAGAAAATTAGTATTTTAAAAGCTAGTGAATGCTAATTCAAATAACACTGTAGAAAAAAAAGACGCATTCTTTGGAAGAGTACACAGTTCTTTTCATCACTTTTTTCCTCAGAAGAAATACTACTTAGAACGTACTCAGAATTTTTCCCCAGAAAGCCTTTGTAATACTATATATTAGTTATTTCATTTCAAGGACATTTAGGTGTGTGTTTGTTCAGAGAGTAAAAAGTACAAAGTGATACAGCCAGTAGGCAGGTAATTCTGTAGCTTAACAGTAAAAGCTTTAATGGGCATGAACCCTATGAGTACTCTTAAGTATTCACTAAATGTGAATGGGTTGAGACAACTTTTATTTATAGGCTTCACCACCACTGAATTAAAGTATTGCAAAGAATCAAGAGTAAAGAAAATATCATTCTTTTATTTATGCATAATATTTCTGCTTGACTTGATTTTTTTTTAATCCTTATATCATTATAGCAGAAGTGGATAGTAACAGTCTGTTACAGTTGAGGAAACTGAGTTGGAGTAGTTGTTTGCCCAAAGTTGGTTATATGGTAGATTTAGGGTTTCTGGTACCTCTTTGCCCGTGAACTCTTACTGTGATGTACTACGTCTCCCAGGTTTTGACTAGAGGACAGTACAAGGCACAAGTTACATTTCAGTTTCTTCAAAAATTAGGCTTATAGAATATTTTGTGCTGAAAGATGCTTTTACTAGTTCCTTGAGAAGGATAAAGTTCAAGTGCTTGCCTTCAGTAAGTCTCCATGCATGTCGAATGGTTAAGACAGTGTTGTAAAAAGACAACCCCAGGGCAATAAGTGGCAACAGGAAGATTCAAGTCCGTAGAAAGATCTGAGTGAGGTCATGAAAATGAAACTCTTAAGTAGGAATAAGTATGAAAGCACACTGTAGTAAACTTCACTGGCAGAGAGAGAAGAAATTTTTGACAGTAGCTGGGAATTCTTCAAGGCTAGGCACCTTGTCTTACTGAACTGAATCTAGTTCCTTGGCCATGTGACTTCTTTCAGTGTTTTAGTTGAGTTTTAGTTCCAGAGTAAGGGTGGAAAGTATATAAGAATTTTAGAAAAGTCTCTTCAGGAAATCATTGTAAAATCAACAAATCTGTTTAAGTACTGGTTGATACAATCTTAAAATAATTCACTGTATTGTAGAATGAAAGCATTTTCCAACTTGATAATGGTTTATGTTATAAAACTTATTTGTTTAGGTGTTGGGTAAATCTTGGAAGGCATTTTTTGCTGGAAACTTTAAAATGCTAATGAAAATTTAGGTCTTTTAAGGAATTATAGACTTGTACAGCTGGAAGGGGACCTTGGAGATCCTGTCACAGAGCTGAAAGTACTGTGAGCCTTATAGTTAATGTAAGAAATACTCAGTGAGGGCTGGGGATTTAGCTCATTGGTTCCAGCACCTGCCTCACAAGCGCTAGGTCCCATGTTTGGTCCCTGGTACCGAGAAAAAAAAAACCAGAAATACTCAGTGAAATGATCCTGACTACTGTTTCTTGGAGAGAAGAGCCTTTAATCAGAGGAAATAGATTTTCAGAGATTAAGAAGCTGATTTCTAGCACTTTAAATATTTTCAGGTTAATGGTAGTAATTTATTTGCTTTTACTCAACATGGCTTTTCTTTAGATAATACAGTTACTATAAACTTAGCGGCAATGTAGGGTTCACTACTGAAAAGCTGGAGAAAGGGATATCATATAGGAAACTTGGAAGATGAACAAAAATTAGTTTTATTTACATGGACAGTATTAAGATTATTCTAAGTTAATGCATATCCTTCTAGGGAATAAATGAGAAAAACTGGGTAACAGTGGTATTTATGATACTTAAAAGTATTTGATTCATTGGGTGATACAGTTAGCCCATGTCATCTAGCTTTTTGCTGGACTCAAGAGTAAAATTGCGTTAATATATGAGAGGAGAGGTTGTGAAAGTTACTCATTGTGCAGTGTAAAGCACCCATTTCTACCTTTATTTCTACTTTTATTGCACTTTAGTAAAGATGAGTTAGTTTTCCCGTCAGGTACCTTTCAGTTGAGTAGAATAAGCCAGCTGTGTAAGTTTCAGACTGTGACTGTCTTGTTCATTGCTATGTTCATAGAGATTAACGCAGTTCTTTATGCTGGTATTCCCAAAATATTTGTTGAA